GCCTGTTTTTTTATGGACCGCCACCCAGGCTCAAAGGGATCATGAGACTATTCATACTAGAAACTTCCGTGTGCAGCCACAAGCTATTATGGGCTCTAGCATAGTTGACTAAGTTGTGCGAACTCTTAGAGTGGTAGACTAGCAGATGTAGGGGATGTAGGTGGTACGGTCTACCCGATCGTAAGGTGCTAGCACTTCTGAAAGACTATGTCTCGGTCATCCGTCTTCTCAAACACTATGTAGTGCGAGAAACCAAACGGAGGCGATCGAGTCTTGTGGGGAAAAGTGCGCAAACCTCTGCAAAGTGTAATAAACTAATCATGGTTAGCCGTGTCCCCGGTTATGAACGTTTTGAGTATGTAGTACTTGGATTTTCATGTGAATCTCAACATGTTACTCTAAATTAATTTTGTTGGGTTATGTTTAACGATGATGCTTAACTGGGATTGAGAATGCTGTCAACCATTCTTAATGTTTAACAACCATCATGATAGTAATTAAATTTTATTCCTTTGAAATAGGGAAAAATTTGGTTTTACGTAAAACTGTAACCATAGAGCTTTCCACCAGCCAAATATGCATATAGTATAGCTATTTCATTCCATTACTCTCTATGTGTTACCTTGCCAGCATATTCCATGTGCTGACCCGTTTTCAGGCTGCAACGTTAATGTTGCAGACTTTTTAGACGACGATTAAGGAGTTTTTAGGTCGTGGTTATATATTCAGTGATGCCGTGGGAGTTGATGGACTTACTTATCTTCCAAGCCTTCCGCTGTTATCGTTATTAGATGACCTTAAGCCATATTAATTGTAATAAGTTCTCTTTTGAGACACTCGATGTAATAAGTGTGTGATTGCTACTCTGCTATAAATGCTCCGAGTACTGTGTGGTGTCAGCATTACTGATCCAGGGATGACACCGGAGCACAGAGATCAGACTGTTTGAGGTCTGGTCGCTACAACCATTCCTGAAACTAACGTTCTTCTTTTTTTTTGTTTTGAAAAAGGTGCTTTGTTCTATAAAACTGGGATTAGTATATCTTTTGAAAAATAGTAGCAACTACAACAACATAGATTAAATGGTCGGGCCATTAGTTCAGTTGTACTTTATTGTTTATACCTGATATACCAGCTGACATCAACACTGGTTATCCACGATACTTTTCATTAACAGAATTAAATGCTCTTTGAACTGGTGAATAAACTATTGCTCCTTGGGGACCCTGGCCCTGATTTTTGACCTATAATTCTTGTTTTACGCTATGAGGAGGAAAATATAGGTAGATGGGTACTGAACAAAACTGGTGTTCTTCCAGCTCAGTCAATGTTTGTGCCTCTGAAAAGTAGTTATGTTAGCTGGCCACATAAGAACCTTTGGTTTGTTAAAGCACCACTGAAGGTAAAACCCGTCTGTGGCTTGCTGTTAGGAAAATATTCCCAACCAAAGACAATTTGGCTAAAAGGGCTGTGTTTGTGATACTAAATGAATGTTTTGTGGCAATGCAGAGACCGTGGATCATCTTTTCCCTGCCAGTGCTGTGTCTGCTTTTTTGGGGGGGCTTAGTGAAATGTGTTGCTGGTTTGGCTATGTACACCCATGAGTTTCTTTGAGATTAGTGGCTGGATCCTTTGTTTTCATGGTAAAGATAGAAATTTGGTAGCTGTGGGCTTTGTGCTGTAATCTGTTCTCCATATAAGGAAGAGTAGGAACGCAACATCTTTTGATCATGTTTACTCGCATGATCCAACAGACATGGATAACTCATTCGTTGTATTGGTGTGGCATGCAGAAACGAGGCAGGCGGTAGCGGCAGCGCAACGTCTGAGATCAGCAAACCCGAAGGCTGGGGCCCGACGATGAGGCGTACTGGAGTTGGTTAAACCATGAGGTGATGTTCTTCCAAGGCTGTCAATGATCTGAGTAATAGCAGCGTTGTAGTTACAAACTGTTCTGTAACCTGTCGGTACTAACCTTTCTGGTTGTTGCTATCCTTCTAGCTTTTGTTAGGGTAAGTATATGCGTGGATGCCGGTTTGCGCTTTTGCTTTTGTGCTTTGTTGTTTCGTCGGCCTTCTTTTTAAAACTGAACCTGGATGTTTGTCTTGTTGGTTTCGTCGGCCCTTTTGTTCCGAAACTTTAGTCCTTCACCCAGGATAAAAAGGTCTAATCGTCGGTGGTAAATATGGCCTCGACGGATCTCATGGTATCTTCGCAGCCGGATGTTTGCAGGCATATTGCAGATTTGTACTCTAGTAACTATTCTGCATGAATTCTACTATTCTATAGTCCGTGTAGGATCTTGAGATACATTTGACCGAGGAATGTTACCATGCACAGGGCCAATGCTGCTTTGAGATTCGTGCTATGCTTTTCTGATTTTAACAAGTCTTGATTTGTTTCAGGGTGTTACATTAGTTTTTTTTTATTTCAAAGTTTAACATAATATTCTGTTGTAGACCATCTGTGTACCGGAAAATCCAATCTGTAACAAATGCAATTTTATTCGTTTGTACACAACTAAACATATTTGTTTGTGTTTATTTTGTTGGTTGAAATTGTCCTCAAGGTTCAGTATGACGGTCCTGGTGCCCTGTGTCTTGGTCGGGCCTTCTTGGCTAAAGGTTGGTTAAGGCGAGTTTCATGTCGTAGCGGTCGTAGGCCGGTTGGCGAGGACGGTCACGTTTGTGTATCCTTCCATGTCTTGGCTTCCCATTGCGTTGCAAGTATTCTGAATCGTGTAAAACATTGGTCGTTCACGCCAAAAGAGCAACTCCAATGAGACGACTCATTTCGTCCGTTGCCATCCGTTTGGATCGGCACGAACATAAAAGTCGGCCCAACGCGCTGACCTAACATTCGCTTCGCGTCTGCCTGCCGACTCATTCCTGGCCTATTTTTGAGCTGGATTTGCGTCGGCGCGGACACGAGACGGACGCGCGCTCGCCCTCTTTTCTCCCCGGACCCGCTGGTTGGTGTCACATTGACCTTTTCCTATCGAACAACACACTCTTGCCCGCCTACTTTATCGCCGACGTCGCCGGCCATTTTTTTTCGATAGATAAAGGATACATAGATAGTCCTAGTATAGACATAAAAAGATCAACAACTAGCCATTTTCCGACTCCGTCTCGATAATGTCCTCCTCTGAAGTCTGAATGTAGACGTCAACATACCGCTCATCCTCAGAGTTCCAGGACGACACTTCTCCTAGCTTCATGTGCAACTGAGTGGCCTGCTTACGCGAACGTTTGTCCTCCCGGTAGGCGGCTCGCTCCGTCCTCCTCGCCCCCCTCTCCGTCCTCCTTTGCTTGTATAATTGACGCTCGTTGACGATGTCCTGCGGGAAGCGTTCACGCCACACCGTCATGGCTTTCACGTCCATCTCGGCGATGGCGAGGCGACATTGCCGCCTCCGGTTGCCACGACGTTCCTCGTCGGTGAAAAGCCGTGGGAGAGGCGCGAGATCCTGCGCCCGCTGGCTTGTCAACACGTCGGGAAAATTCATCTCTCGACGAGGCCGCCGAAGGCACCACGCCGCCGCGTCGTACGTGCGGGCCGCATCCTCTGCGATGTCGAAGGTGCCGAGACTGAGGCGTTTCTCGCCAAACCAGATCTCGGAGGAGAAGCTGCCGTAGCGGCGCTCACGGACTCTGCGAAAATCTGAAGCGCCCAGGCAGCGCATCGACATGGTGACGCAGAGACGGCGAGGCTAGTGAGGGGGGGGGGGCGAGGCGAGAGGGCGGCGAACAGAGTGTGGAGGGAGCGCCTTCTTAACGCACCCCGGACGCGGCGCGCCAAAACCAGCGCGCGCTAGGCCGATTTTTCCCGCCCGCGCGATCCTTTCCCGCGCTCTGGAGTGCCAAACCCAGCGCGACGACATGGCCGATGGTATGATCTATGGCCGCGGGCCTTTTTTTTTTTAAATTGAGCGTGGACATGAAATGAGTCGGCGCGTTGGACGCACTGTCGACCCAAATGCACAAGAGGGCAGATGTTGGGCGGGCGGCCGATCCAAACAAACAAAAAGCGAACAAATACGCCGTCCGTTTGAATCGACCGTTGGAGTGCTCTAATAACACTTTCTTCTCCATGAAAATGAAATGCTTCCGGGCGCTTTTAGACGTGCTCAAGCGAAGAAGAAGAAGAAGCATATAGGATCTGGGAATAATAACCTGCAAGTTCCCGATGGGAACTGTCAGTGCGGTCACCGCTGCGGTACTAATCCCGACACAGCATGACGGGATTTAGACGTGCTCCATCTTGCATTTTCGCGAGGAAATACTGCCGTCTGACTTGTACTACAGCATGACGAAGATTTCAGTTCATTAGCAGTAGTACAGTTCGTACTACTCCTACTCGCTAGTACTACGTACGTCCGTTTGATTTCGGTACTACTGGCAGTTGAGTTTAGCAAGTTGAATTTGATTTGGGTACTACTGTACTGTCACCCCCAAAGGCCGTCGCCAGCCCCACGGGCCTCAATCCTCATGGATCTCTGACCGATTTGAGATCCAGATGACAAATCAAGGTGGAGGGCAGTAGTCGACACAAGTCACAACATAAGCATAGTACGATCTGTAGTACAACAACGCCGGTCAGTTCTCCACCGCAGTACAACCATCGTAATAGCCTCGCACACCTCATCATACTACTACAAAAGAAAATGGGTGATGTCCCGGCCTCAAAAGCTAAAGCCATGATTCCTGCTTGCGTCTACGGAAGCTAAGCTAGCCAGATGCAACCAGACACTACTACTGGGGAAGACGAAGAGGAGGAAGAGACGCAAAGGTGCCATTGAGTGCAGCGTTGATGAACCGTCCTACTCCTCCGAGGCCGGAGCGGTTCACCGGCGCTGCACACAATGACGGCTCTGCTTTCTCCGGCGAAACAGCAAAGCAAGCCTTTTGTTACTAATCCCGACACCATTGACACAGGCATTCATCAGCTACTTATATATGCTCATGTGCCGGTGGTGACATGAAGCGGAGAGAAGGAGCTCAGTTGGGGCCCCAGCAGACGAGGTGGTGCGCCTTGCGCAGCTTCGCGTCCTCCGCGGACAAAGGCGCCGGTCGGGGAGCCGCGGCGGCCGCTGCCTCGGAGAGCGAGGCGGACAGGGCGCGGACCCTGGGCGCGGCGGCGGCGTGGCGGTAGAGCGAGCGGAGCGGGTAGCCCCAGCGGCACAGGCCCGCCTGGTCCTTGAGCGCCTCCACGGCGCCCACGCTTGCCGCCACCACCAGCGACGGCGCCTTCCTGCTCGCCGCCGACGCCATAGCAGCCCCTAGATCCTGTTCCTCCCCTTGCTTCCTTTCTTTCTCTCTGCGTCTGCGCCGCACCTGGTTTACTTGCTCAAGTGGATGTCGTCTCATCGGCGATCTCTGCGGGGGTTGCCATTTTTATACGCGACCGGGGACGCGAAACAGGCGGCGAAAGGGAGGAGCGGCCTAGGGGAAAACAGGGAGCGGGCCGCCTGTTTTGGACGGCGCGTCCGATGAAACGGGGCGGCGGACAAGACGTGGCGCGGTACAAGAAAGTTCTCTCCGCTACACATGCTGAACGTGAAACAAATTGTTTTTTAGAATCAAAATAAATTGTTTTTAGGAACGTGAAATAATTGGTAGATTAGTGGTTACAGCTAATTTATTCTCTCATTCGCAAAAGAAAAATAATACTCTACTAATTAACTTGGTCAAACCGATGGCTGTCAGTTCAAGTTATGTCCGTTGGCTGTATAAAGTCGCGAGGCCGGTCCACCATCCTCCCTAGCCACGTCATGGTCTTTTGGTTATTTTTTTAAACATAGTACAGACGTTATACATACGCATATACATTTCATCTTATGAACGCATATACACAATACACATAATGTATGGGCACACACACTACTTTTATGCGTATCTTCGAGAGGATGGGCCGGCACATCATCTTAAGATTGTTAAAAGTTGTCACAGACGCTTTCGTAATCGATGGGAATGTCTCTTCCCATTTAACACACATCAACTAAAAGGTTGAAATAAATCCAGAAAAATACGAGCACCAATGTCAAGTTTAGGACCACAAATTGATTCCCTACATTCTATTCTCAAGTTTCCAATTTGAAAGTTGCAACTTTCAAAATGATTTACCTTTCAAAATCAAAAGCCCTTTTCTATATCTAACTATAAAGTTCTCGAGAGAACAATCGAGCCTAATACTTGATCGGAAGAAACTAGACTTACCCACTAGACTCCCATGCACCTTTTTTTTTTTGACATTCAAACACTCTTTATGCCTGGCAATCATAGTAGCATCATTTATAAGAGAGCTAATAATCTTATTTGGTGGTTCTTCCATCCAACCAGAACACACAGAACTCCTAGCTAGCTTAGCTAGATCATGCACAATGCAACTTGCCTCTTTAGAAACATCATAAAAAATAACATGCGGAAATCACAAGTAACTCTCGGCGGCGCTCCGGCGTGTGCAGGCGGCGGTGGTCTCTGTGCATGGTCGACGGCTTCGTCTCTGACCCGGACGGCGCGGGGGATGGAGGCGGCCCGGCGTGGCCGGCAATCTGGATGCGGTGGTGTTGGCGGCTTGCTGGTCTACCGGTGCTCCAGGGTTCTGCCTGGTGGTGCTGGTGGTAACGGCGGCCTGTGCACGAGAGTTGGATCCCTTCGAACTGATCTGGGTGAAAACTTGCCTTCGGCGTCTGCTAAGGCCGGCGGTGGCGGCGCTATCTGCGTCGTTCCCTTCTTGAAGGCATCGTCGTGGAAAAGTTCAAGGCCACTCTCTGCTACCTCCAGAGAAAACCCTAGATCGGATGATCGGATGACGCGGCGCTCTGGTGTCGTTCCTCCCTTGGGGGCGTCATTCTTGGAGGGTACACACGTGATCGAGGGACCAGAGCACAGATTCTTTGATGGAGCGGTGATTCATCCTACACACTGATGGCAACGGATCTTGACGGCGTGGCGCAGTGCAAATTCGGAGTTCGCTGTGGGAGGATGGACTTGCGCAGGAGGACGACGATGTCGGACGTCGTGGTGGCGTCGATGGTAGAGAGACCTGGCACGGTACATGCAACAGTACAACTCTAAAGATGGATTGATAGCAGGTGGCTGCGACGGCCTCATACCCGGCAGGCGTCCTGGTTGAGGAGTGCGTTGGACTGGTAGGTGCCCCATACTGATAACCCACAAGTATAGGAGATCGCAACAGTTTTCGATAAGTAAGAGTGTCAAACCTAACGAGGAGCTAAAGGTAGAACAAATATTCCCTCAAGTTCTATCGACCAGCGATACAACTCTACGCACGCTTGACGTTCGCTTTACCTAGAACAAGTATGAAACTAGAAGTATTTTGTAGGTGTTGTTGGATAGGTTTGCAAGATACTCCCTCCATTCCAAAATATAGTTCGCCCACGCTTCCCGAGGTCCAATTTTGACCGTAAATTTAACCAACGAGACCAACTGCGGCGGAAGAAAAAATTATATAATTGAAAACTTCTTTCGAATACGAATTCACTGATATAATTTTTGCTCCCACCGTAATCGGTCTTGATAGTTAAATTTACGGTCAAAGTTGAAGCACGTGGGTAGAGGAAGCACTACATTGTGGAATGAAGGGAGTAATAAAGAGTACGTAAATAAAAAGTAGGGGATGTTTAGATAAAGAAACAATAAAGTAAATATAGCGAGTGTGGAAAAGTGGTGGTAGGAGTTGCGAAATTGTCCCTAAGCAATTGACTACTTTACTAGACCGATAACAAGTATTATGTGGGTGAGGCCACTGCTAGCATGCTATCCCTGACTTGGAATTCTATGCACTTATGATTGGAACTATTAGCAAACATCCGCAACTACTAATGTTCATTAAGGTAAAACCCAACCATAGCATTAAGATATATTGGTCCTCCTTCAATCCCGTATGCATCAATTTCTATGCTAGGTTGAAGCTTCTGCCACTCTTACCTTCCAATATATAGTCCTATCAACTAACTATAGGGTGTGATCCACGCGCGCAATCATATGATGGGCACCAAAGGACAGTAACATAACCACAAGCAAATTAAATCAATCATAGCAATTCATCAACCATCGATAGGACAACGAAAATCTACTCACACATCATAGGATGGCAACACATCATTGGATAATAATATGAAGCATAAAGCACCATGTTCAAGTAGAGGGTACAGCGGGTTGCGGGAGAGTGGACCGTTGTAGATAGAGGATGGAAGGTGATGGAGATGTTGGTGAAGATGGCGGAGGTGTTGGTGTAGATTGCGGTGATGATGATGGCCCCCGGTGGCACTCCGGTGCCACCGGAAGCGAGGGGGAGAGAGCCCCCCTCCTTCTTCTTCCTCCTTGACCTCCTCCCTATATGGGAGAAGGGTTTCTCCTCTGGTCCATGGCCTCCATGGCAAGGGAGGGGCGAGAGCCCCTCCGAGATTGGATCTGTCTCTCTGTCTCTCTCTGTTTCTGCGTTCTGTTCTGTCTCTGTTTCACCGTTTCGTGTATATATGGAGATCCGTAACTCCGATTGGCCTGAAACCTTCGCTGTGTTTTTTTCCAAAAATTAGCTTTCTTGTGGCAAAAAAAGAGCGTCAACCTCCTTACGGGTGGCTCACGAGGGTAGGGGCGCGCCCAGGGGGCAGGCGTGCCCCCCTGCCTCGTGGCCACCTTGGGCACCGTCTCGCGTGGATTTTTCTTTCAGAATTTTCCAAATATTCCAAAAAGTATCTCCGTCCGTTTTTATCCCGTTTGGACTCCGTTTGATATGGATATTCTGTGAAACCAAAAACATGCAACAGACAGGAACTGACACTAGGCACTGGATCAATATGTTAGTCCCAAAAATAGTATAAAAAGTTGCCAAAAGTATATGGAAGTTGTAGAATATTGACATGAAACAATCAAAAATTATAGATATGACGGAGACGTGTCAGCATCCCCAAGCTTAATTCCTACTCGTCCTCGAGTAGGTAAATGATAAAAAAGTAATTTTTGATGTGGAATGCTACCTAGCATAATCTTGATCACATATCTAATCATGGCATGAATATTAAGATACGAGTGATTCAAAGCAATAGTCTATCATTTGACATAAAAACAATAATACTTCAAGCCTACTAATAAAGCAATCATGTCTTTTTAAAATAACATGGCCAAAGAAAGTTATCCCTATAAAATCATATAGTCTGGCTATGCTCCATCTTCTTCACACAAAATACTCACATCATGCACAAACCCGATGACAAGCCAAGCAATTGTTTCATACTTTTGACGTTTTCAAACATTTTCAATTTTCACGCAATACATGAGCGTGAGCCATGGACATAGCACTATATGTGGAATAGAATATGATGGTGGAGAAGACAAGAAGGAGAAGATAGTCTCATATCAACTAGGTGTACCAACGGGCTATGGAGATGCCCATCAATAGATATCAATGTGAGTGAGTAGGGATTGCCATGCAACGGATGCACTAGAGCTATAAGTATATGAAAGCTCTAACTGAAACTAAGTGGGTGTGCATCCAACTTGCTTGCTCATGAAGACCTAGGGCATTTGAGGAAGCCCATCGTTGGAATATACAAGCCAAGTTCTATAATGAAAATTCCCACTAGTATATGAAAGTGATAGCTCAAGAGACTCTCTATATGAAGAACATGGTGCTACTTTGAAGCACAAGTGTGGTAAAAGGATAGTAACATTGCCCCTTCTCTCTTTTTCTCTCATTATTTTTCTCTTTTTTTGTAGGCTTCTTTGGCCTCTCTCTTTCTTTTTTTGGGCTTCTTTGGCCACTTTTATTTTGATAACCTCACATGGGACAATGCTCTAATAATGATGATCATCACACTTTTATTTACTTACAACTCAATATTACAACTCGATATCTAGAACAAAGATAAGACTCTATATGAATGCCTTAGGCTGTGTATCGGGATGTGCAATGATCTAGCGTAGCAATGGCATTAAAAACCGGACAAGCCATGAAAACATCATGCTAGCTATCTTACGATCATGCAAAGCAATATGCCAATGAATGCTCAAGTCATGTATATGATGATGATGAAAGTTGCATGTCAATATATATCGGAATGGCTATGGAAATGCCATAATAGGTAGGTATGGTGGCTGTTTTGAGGAAGGTATAGGGTGGGTTTATGGTACCAATGAAAATTGCGCGGCACTAGAGAGGCTAGCAATGATGGAAGGGTGAGAGTGCGTATAATCCATGGACTCAACATTAGTCATAAAGAACTCACATACTTATTGCAAAAATCTATTAGTCATCGAAACAAAGTACTACGCGCATGCTCCTAGGGGGATAGATTGGTAGAAAAATACCATCGCTCGTCCCCGACCACCACTCATAAGGAAGA